ATGTAGGTGAGCAGATGTAGGTGAGCAGAACAGAGAGGGAAGAAGTGAAGTTGATGGTGGGTTTCAAGTCTTGGGAGGAGGTGGGATAAATCATGGCGACACTGTGAGGGACGGAAAGCCCAGGAAGGCTGGCTGCCTCCAGAGGGTCCTGCTGGGTGAACTGAGTGTGCAAAAACAGCGGGACAAGGGGAGAGGCTCCGTAGGAAGCGAGCCGGGAGCCGAGGGCTGGGCTAATCTGGATGGAGCCTTGGCTCTGCAGCTTCCTGCTGTGTGGCCTCGGGCAAGTCACTGAACCTCTCTGAGGGCCATCTCTCAGCCTCAGGGGAGAGAATAGTATCCACTTTATAGTGTTGTCATTGTATCAAAGGAGCAGACACTGGTGGCAGTAGGGTTTTCTTATTTGAAGAGGCTGAATGATTTTGTTAGAGACCTTGAGTCCGTCTCTTCAGCTCCCTGGGCATCAGTTTCCCTCTCAGTAGGATGAGGGGTGCAGCTTGACCAGGCAGAACGGCTGGATCATCCACGCTGGTCCAGGCAGGGGAGCTCTGGATGGGGACCGGGGGGGGGGGGAATGCGCACCGTGCAGACTTGCTGGTGATGTGGCTTTGTGGGCTCAGGCTGGGGTCGGGCATGATGAGAGGGGCAGGTTGCAGGCAGCGGGATGGGCGGGCAAGGGGAGGGACCAGCGAGCACAGACTGGCCGGAAGGCAGGCAGGGGAGACAGGTGGCGTAAGTGCCAGGGGCAGTAGTGGAGTGGAAGGAAGGTTTCTGAGGGTGGGGAGGTGGGGATCTGTACAGGGGCAGGCAGAAGGGGGAGACCAGGAGGCTGGAGAGCCTGACAGCCCTTGAGGGGACACCCTCGGCTCAGTCCACAGAGCTGATGGGCCCCTGGTTGGACCGTGCGGACCGAGCTGTCTCCACCCAGCACTTTGGGGCCATGGAGGGGAAGGCTGGGCCCCTGAGCGGCCGCTCCCTCTGTGCCCAGAGCCCTACAGCCCCGCGGTGTGGGTGATGATGTTCGTCATGTGCCTCACGGTGGTGGCCATCACTGTCTTCATGTTCGAGTACTTCAGTCCCGTCAGCTACAACCAGAACCTCACCAGTGGGAAGAGTAAGCTCCCACCCGGCCTGGGAGAGGGGGCCAGGCCGAGGCCCCCCAGCAGGGTGGGCTCAGGGCCAGAGGGCCCTGCAGAGAACGCTGGGTCCTGTGGGAAGTTTCTGGGTTTTGCATACATGTAGGGGCCAGTCGGATACACAGGGGAGCTGACTTGACTTGGGCCAGGAATGGCGGGGATGGGTCTGGACCCAGGCAGGACTGAGACGGGCCGTGGAGATGGGTGGACGGGGGGAGCTAGTTCCTGGGTGGGCCCCACTGACCGTCCCGTCACCCCCAGAGTCTGGGGGCCCATCCTTCACCATTGGCAAGTCCGTGTGGCTGCTGTGGGCGCTGGTTTTCAACAACTCGGTGCCCATTGAGAACCCCCGGGGCACCACCAGCAAGATCATGGTTCTGGTCTGGGCCTTCTTTGCCGTCATCTTCCTCGCCAGCTACACTGCCAACCTGGCCGCCTTCATGATCCAGGAGCAGTACATCGACACCGTGTCTGGCCTCAGTGACAAGAAGGTTCTGGGGGCACGGCTGGTGGTGGGTGGGGGGACGCTGAGGGCAGGGGCAGATGGTGGGTGAATTGACACAGGTCAGTTGTGGTCAGGAGAATTTGGACAGGAGGCTGGATCAGGAAGAAGCTGGGGAGCCTGGTGAGGAGGGGGCAGGGGGCAGGGGAAGAGATGGCTCAGGCCCTTTCCTGGGCCTCAGTTTCTCTAAAACACAGGAGTGGCCTGGACAGCCTCTGAACTATTGTGCTCTGACCCTGTGTGTGTCCAGACTAGGGGTGGGGCACGGGGGGTAGGGGCAGGGGCAACTCGGTGCCTGGAAGGTGTGAGGCAGCATGGTGAGTGGCCGCTGGTCCCTGCCTGCAGTTTCAGCGGCCACAGGATCAGTACCCGCCCTTCCGCTTTGGCACCGTGCCCAATGGCAGCACAGAGCGTAACATCCGCAGCAACTACCGGGACATGCACACCCACATGGTCAAGTTCAACCAGCGCTCGGTGGAGGATGCTCTGACCAGCCTCAAGATGGGGTGGGTTTCCCCACCCCTGCGTCCCCAACCCTCCACCCATCATCCAACTCTCCCTCCCCACGTGTCCCCCAGTGACCAGCCTCAGCCTTGTCCCTTCCTGAGAGAGCCCTGGTGGGGACAGCGGTGCGGGGCTGTCCTGGGAGGCTGCAGGATGCCTGGGGCAGGTGGGCGGGGCGAGAAGATGGAGGAGAACAGGCCTTGGGGCAGGGTGGAGCTTCAGGCAAAGATGGGCACCCACCATGCGGCCCAGAGGCATAGCTGTGGTGGTGAGCACAGCCAGCCTTGGCGTGAGGGGATGGTTGTCATCTCCGGCCCTTAGGGAGGAACTGGGAAGAGAGAGTGTGTCCTCTGGGGGCCGTGAGTTCCCTGGCCCCTGTGAGGAGGAAAGGGATGGGGTCTTAGAGCTGTGGGAGGGGTCCTCTGCATCCAGGACCCACAGGAACTGCTCCTCTGTCCTTGCTGTGTGGTGCCCAGCTGGTTCCTACCCCTGTGCCCAGACCTCTGTCAGATCCCAGGTTCAGTGTCCCCCACCTTGCCTGGTCCTTGGCCCTGAGGACTCGGCCTATCCCCAGGAAGCTGGACGCCTTCATCTATGATGCTGCTGTCCTCAACTATATGGCAGGGAAGGATGAGGGCTGCAAGCTGGTCACCATCGGGTCCGGCAAGGTCTTTGCCACCACCGGCTACGGCATTGCCATGCAGAAGGACTCCCACTGGAAACGGCCCATAGACCTGGCGCTCCTACAGTTCCTGGGGGATGGTGGGTGCTGCCAGCTGAAGAGGGATGGTGGGTCCAGGGTGGCCACGGAGCCTGAGGTTGGGTGGCAGCCCGCTGGCTCTGGCTGGCCAGCGTGTCCACCACCACTCTTTGTCCCCAGGGCCTTCTGGACAGGGGGAGGTCTCTGGAGGTGAGACGGTGGGCGAGTGGCAAGATGTGGCACTGGGAGCAACTGAGGGGGAAGGAGTGGGTTTCCAGGAAGGGAGCAGGAATTAGAGTGGTGAGACCCTGAGGGGCAAGACGACTGGAAGGAGTTCAGGCCACACAGTGGGGGTGGGAGTGGCTGAACCCCTTTCTCAAGACCCACGATCTGTCTCAAATGAGCCCTTCCTTTGCCAGTATGTCCCCTCCCCAATGCTTCCACCTTGGGATTACCTGAGAGTGGCCTCAGGGATCTGCCTAGTCCCAGAGCAGGGGCCCACACTGGCTTGGCATCTGGTGGGCTCTCATATGTGAGTGGTCTGGCTCAGTCTGTCCGAAACCCAGAGAGGCTTTGAGTGTAAAAGTGCACTGTCCTTATTACATAACAGCCGGTCTGACTTCCATCAGTACCACCTAATAGTGACAGAGATGAGAACAGCATTCGTGTGCGTGCTGTGGTCCTCAGGGGCCTTTCATCTCTATCCTCAGCTCTGTGCCAGGCTGGTCGATCAATATGTGTTTGCTGGATAAATGAGTGCCTTGGATAAAATTTACCTGATCAACTAGCCTGCAGCTGGGCACGTGGGGCTGGGCAGGTGGAGAGCCCCCAGGCCTGCACTGCTCACCCCTGCTCTGCCCTCTTGGCCTCCCTTCCCCACATGCCACTCTTGTTGGGCCCTGCGTGGTCCCACTGGAGGAACAAGGGGGTGGCACTCTGATCCCAGACTCCTCCTTGCTCTGGCATTGGTGGGGGGGTGCCCTTGTGGGTGGGAGGCAGTTCCTGACCCGAGTGCTCCGCCCCAGGGGAGACCCAGAAACTGGAGACTGTGTGGCTCTCGGGGATCTGCCAGAATGAGAAGAACGAGGTGATGAGCAGCAAGCTAGACATTGACAACATGGCGGGTGTCTTCTACATGCTGCTGGTGGCCATGGGGCTAGCCCTGCTGGTCTTCGCCTGGGAGCACCTGGTCTACTGGAAGCTGCGCCACTCGGTGCCCCACACGCCCCGGCTGGACTTCCTGCTGGCCTTTAGCAGGGTGGGTGCTGTCCCACCCCACACAGGCACTGGCATTAGGGGTCGAGCCCAGATAAGTCAGCTGGGTGCATTACATGGGGAAACCGGTTCTGGAGGAGGCGGGGCTTGCCGGCAGGTGAGGCAGGCCAGTGGCATAGAGCGAGCTGGGTTTTGGAGCCAGGTGGATGAGGTTCAGTCCTCCCTCTGCCATTTACTGACCGGGTGGTGGTAGGAGCCTGAGTCCCTGCCTGGGAGCTTGTGGGATCTCAGGGCACAGCGCTGGCACATAGGAGACACCACACGTTCCTTGTTTCCCAAAAGCAGGAGAAGTCTGGTTCCTGGGCCCGGGGAGGTGGGCGGGGCAGTGAGACTGTGCCCAGAGCAGAGGCGGCTCACAGCGGTCCCCCCTCCTCCCTGTGCCCAGGGCATCTACAGCTGCTTCAGCGGCGTGCAGAGCCTGGCTAGCCCCGCGCGGCCGCCCAGCCCGGACCTCACGGCCGACTCGGCCCAGGCCAGCGTGCTCAAGATGCTGCAGGCTGCGCGCGACATGGTGACGACGGCGGGCGTGAGCAGCTCCCTGGATCGCGCCACGCGCACCATCGAGAGCTGGGCCGGGCGCCGCGCGCCCCCGACGCCCGCCGCGCGCCCGACCACCCCCGGCGCGTCCCTTGA